CCTTCCATTTTTTTTTATCTTAGATTCTTCCCTTTGTTTCCATTTTCTTCATTGAATAGGAAGAAAACCATTTAATTAACTCTACTTTTCAAGCTCATAGGAATTTTCGAGACAGACGTCTGTTTCATAGCCGAAATTACTGACCTGGTGAAAGTAAGTACTAAAGTTCTCATATATTCTTTCTTTATTGTTGCTAATCTCTCGCATGGCAATGTTGGATTAATTTTGCTCTACTTTTGATACTCAAAAGGTGGTTTTTGAGTGAAGCTTGTTTCATAGCCGGACTATTGGGGTAAGTTTCCGAATACCGCTTCTCGAATACTGTTACTGTCTCTCATGCAAATATCTGATTAATTTTTTTAGCTAATTTGCAGTGATTAATTTAGATCATTTGCTATAGAGCAAAGTAATGCTGAGGAACAGATCCAGAGCAGTGACCAGCAAGCAACCTCTAATGGCGGATTCTCAACCATCTCCAACTCATAAAAACTACTCAAAAAGCCCATCATTCTTCGACTCTCCAAGATTCAGAGGCTTCGCGATAAAGGGCAGTTTCGAAACCGATTCAAATTTGATCAGCCCAACTTCAATTCTTGACACCACCAAGCCATTCCCCTTCGGAAGAAACCCGTTTTCGGGTGACCAAATCCAACCCAAAACCCCAAAAACTCAACCCGGGAACAAACCCTTTTGGGAGAAATCTGAGGCCAAAGGCATTGGCCTTGCTCTGGTTCAAACACTCAAAGATGAAAACTTGGAAGACAAAAATTCAAAAACCAGTAACCGTAAGGTCCTGTTTGGCACTAAGCTCAGAGTTCAAATCCCCAAGACTTTGAATTCCCAGTTTTCAGAAACTGGGTCTGTTAACTCTGGCATCCAAACAGAGAACCCAAATTCGGGTTCGAATTCAGGTTCAGGGTCTGGTTGTGTGAGCGAGAGAAGTGAAATGGAGCTTTCTGAGGATTATACTTGTGTGATTTCTCGTGGGCCGAAGCCGAGAACGACTCACATATTTGATAACTGCATTGTGGAAAGTTACCATACTATGTCGGATCAGTCGAGCTCCGGTTCTGAGAATTTTCTTAGCTTTTGTTACACATGCAGGAAGAATCTTGAACAGAAGATTGACATCTACATTTACAGGTTCGTTTCAATGGCCCCTTCTTCAAATGATTATTCCGAAACTGTTTTTGTAGGAAGTACATCTGTTGCTTTTGTCGTAGGTGCTCTTTTCTAGAAGAACAGGATTAGTATTCTTTCCTAGAACACACTTCTAAGACCTACAAAGTTTATAAGTTTTTATATCTAGCGTAATCAAAAGTGCTTTTTATCGTCACAAAACAATTCTAGCTCTTCTTCAAATATTTACTCTGAAATTGTTTTTGTAGGAAGTACTGTTCGTAAGGGCTTTTGTTGTAGGTGCTTTTTACTTGAAGAACAGGAGTAGTCTTCTTTCCTAGAACACGCTTTTCCGACCTACATAGTTTATAAGTTTTTCTGTCTAGCGTAATCATAAGTATTTCTGATCGTCAAAAAACACTTTAAGCTTTTCTAGAAGCCGTCTCAAACACGTTCTTATTCAATTATTGGAAGTTTCAAGTTTGAAGACGAAGATATTGGATTGCAGGCTTCTCTTAATAATCACTAAACAATATACATACCGCTTATTATTGGTTTAGTGTTTCTAGTTCTACTTTTGATCAAACATTTGTGGCAGTTATATGTATCCTACGCTTAAATCATTTTTTCAACATTTGTTTCTAATTAAATAACGATTTATTGTCTGTTTAATGTCTCGTGTAGAGGTGAGAAGGCGTTTTGCAGTCAAGAATGCCGGTACCAGGAAATGCTCTTGGATGAAGTTGGGAACACAGAACTTGATGATACATTTAGGAGTTGTTCTTGAATGATTGATTTTAAAAACCAAAAAAGTTAGGTCTTCCTATTTAATTTTTGTATTTGCCTTGTTTATTTTTTCATACCCTCTCCACTGCAGATAAAGATAAGAGAGGATGACGTATTCTAAGTTTGTAGAGTTCTGAGTTTTTTAAATTAATGACTTAATGTCCTATGATTATGATAAGTTGTTATATGTTCTACGTTTTAACTTGTTCATCTAACATTCTATGATGAACTTATAATATCGCCTTTTTAACGTCGTAGTTACATGTAAATTCTTCTCCTTCCCTACTTTCATAAGTTAAAAAGACTCAGAACCTGCCTAACTTTTGTATTTTCTAATCAATCGTTGATAATTTTAACTGCACAAGAGGTTTTTTTTTGGGTTGTGGGGAGGTCATAATTTTTTATTTTCGGTAACATAAGAGAGTAAATCACCTCAAAGCTAACTTAATAAATGATGAAATAGTTCGAATCCTAGAGATTCTTCTACTAGATATGAACCAACTTGCACTCCGCTATGCATACTATAAAACTGGTACTAGTGATAGTGTGAATTAAATTAACCACTCGTATTAACAACTGCAAAACTATAGACCAAAATAAATTATTTAATTTCCTGCAAACAATTAATGATATAAACGATAGAAAAATCACACACAAAATTAGTATAGAAATTTTAAACTCTCGAGAATAATTAAAAGAGGCGACAGTTTGATCGGATAAAGGAAAAATAAAATGGAGAAAGAGTTAGTCCAAATAATGGGTCCAAGGTTCCATACCTATTATTTATACATTACTCGATGGCTCGGATAATTAAATATCGGTAGCAGTTAAGAACTGTGATGCAAATTGCAGAGGCTGTCCAAACATCTGCTTGCATCACCCACCATACCATTATAGAGAGAGATTTTTTAGTGTGCTGGAAATACAATTTGATACAACAAATGTCATAATACAAATAGTTGGATACTTAAAAAAAAAAAATTATTTGTATTCTGATACTTAGTATACCGAATCGTGTTTCTGACACACTAGAAAATTTCTCCATGATGGGTATCTAATCTAAACCACATATTATTAAACACACCTTGTCAATCAAATAAGCAAAAAGGATGGTATTAACCCTATATTCACTATTTCAATACCAAAATAAAATTAAAAAAAAAAACTAACGAAAAGTTCAAAAAAAACTTTAGTTTTAATGAAAATTGACAAATAAAGGTGTAGTGAATAGTACAAAGGAAAGGTAAAAAATTGGTTTTTAGTTAAAAGTGAACAGTACTCGAAGTGTTTTGTTAAAACTCCAAAAAAAAAAAAAAATGGCATTCATGTTGAGCGCATTGGATGAGAGGTACATCTTCAGTTCACAAAATAATCTCTCGCGTGAATAAGCAAAACTTGTGATGGATGTATATATCAGTACAACTGAAGATATATCTCTTTGTATATCAACAAACTTACTCATGGTAGATATAAATACAATGAATAGGTTACACAATGAACTATAAAGTATCTCGTATACTAGTTATCTATTAATAAAACACACTTTGTCAATCAAATACGTGAAAGAAACAGTATTCACCCTATTTAGTCATGTTGAGTGCATTGAATGAGAGGTGGTTCACAACATAATCTCTCGTGTGAATAAGCAAAACTTGTGATAGATATATTTATTATATATCCCTTTGTATATCAACAAACTTACTCATAGTAAATATATGGAGGATATGAATACAATGAAGTTATCTTAGGTTACACCTCAAAATCTCTCATATAAATAAGTAAAACTAACGATAAATGTATAAAGAAAGAGATCACAATGTATCCGAGAAAATATCTTTTTATATATATCTCTAACATCACGTGATAAAAGTGTAAAATAGAGATGTAAACACTACAGAATATGTCATCAGTTGCACATCAGAATCTCTCGCCTGATGAGGCCAACTTACGAAGAAGCCAAAAGCACTTTGAAGATGTAATGAGGGAAGAGGGAAAAAGACGACTAGTTTAAGATAAGGGCTGCCTACAGGGATCGGACAAAAGGGAATGTTGTCTGTCAAATGTTACTTTTGAAACAAGTATCAAAGTTGGCTTTGGCATTCACCCCTTTCTCCTGTTCACGTTCCACGCCTATACCACAGTGAAAATTTGGACCGCGGCAACAAAGCAGCAATGACTGAAAGGAAAAGAACACTCGGTCGCAATAATACACCAGCAAATTGCATAATGCTTCCACGAAATGAACAAAATTCAACACAAGTGTGTACGATGATGGAAATGGTGTGGCTATCAATCCCCTATTGAAAAACACTTGCATGAAATGAGACTCTAAGGTGACGGCACATGAAGTTGAAACACATGACATGCTTAGATACTGCCCCCTTCGCATCCCTGTTTCATGTAACTCGCTCTTCAAATCATCAAATGCTTTGGTCATAAGACAAACCAACCATGGACAGACCACCACCAAGAGCTCGGTTCGTAGGAGTGCTCAAACGAAAATCAGTTAAGAAATTCTGGTTTAACTTCAGAACCTCCACAAATACGTACGAACCGGTTTGCACATTGGAGAACTAAGTTACGGAAAAGAGAAACCTTCTCGACTTACTTCAAATTTGCCAATCTTCCATGAGAATAATCCTCAAAGGAGACGAAAGCACCCCAAGCTAAACATTCTGAGTCACCGCGGGTGCAGCAGGTCGGAACTAGCGTTTGAAATCTTTTCAATACCGTTGATATTTTCGATATCATGTTTTGTTAATATTTCCAATATATCGAAAAAACTCTTATATTAACATTTTTTTAAGTTTCATTTTAAATTTTCGTAATTTCCATCCAAACCAACCGATATCGATGTCTACATTTCCATGATACAAATTTGCAATATACACCGATTTCGCAACACAAACAGCACCCAACAATCTCTCCCAAGATGGAGGGGCTGCAAAATTCTGTGAACAGTATCAAGTTTCAAATTCTCATTGCGACAGAATCACCAGCAACTCGCAGATTCAAATCCATTAAGCTATCGATTATCAAAGCGCATGACTCACATCTAAGCCGATCGAAAGAACATTATGCGCCATACAGCAACATCAATGGAACAGACCATATAAATCGAACAGATAAATAATGTTAACATCCATAAAATTAACGTACGAATATGAAAGATGACGATAAACAAGCTAGCATCGAAGTTTAAATTAGACGACAGAAGAACAGACTCAACATTGAAACATAAATAGAAGACATAAAAGTTCACCACAAATATGTCCGACGCTACAATGCTCCACCGGATCGATGGAAGACAAACAGCTTTTCCATACATCATGCATTCTTCAACACAAGTGATGATGTACTGGAACCGCATTTGCCTTCAGCAAGGAACTATTACACGCGTAAAGGACTACATCACGAACTGCTAACGAACACACCTCCGGAATACTGTACCAACTTGCACCCTGTTTCACACACATTCAAAAGAAACTAGTCACAACTGAAACAAATTATAAAAGAGTTGGCGAACACAACACCGAAGGGGAACAGGAAAACAGATGTATTACCTTGTCGATGGTGAGGCGAGATCAACAATCTCCAAGGATGAAAACGATGTGAACACCACAACCGGCACCATTCATTTCCAAGAACAATGAACTAATAGGTACTTCCAAACTCAGGACATCATACAGGACAGAACTACAGATTGACCAACCCTAAAGACAAAAAACCAATGAAGCAGAAGTACGAAAGAACAATCAATGCCCCTTCCCTCTTTTCTTTCTCAAAAAACAGAAAAGAGAGTGAAAGGTGAGAACACCCTTTGATAAGAGTGTAGTTAAAGGGGTTAGATTGTTGTCAGAAGCAAAGAACGTTTCGTTGACTAAGAAGGCAAACGAGACTATAACAGGAAAGGCAAGAGTGTTCAATGAAAGAAGATTACCTAAGCAGCTATTGGGGCAACGCTGAACTAAGGAACAAAGAGACTAGCCAATGTTAGAATATTTAGAAGGACACTAACTCTAAACCCTAAGGAAACAAAAGACATGACGCAGAAGAAAAATGAAACCTATAGAAACCTACAAAGTTCTGTATGGATAGATCACTAGACATTCTACAGCATGTACAGTAACCGAATGAAGACACCTAAACCTAACTCTAAAAGGGTTAAGAATTAGCAAATTTGTGAGGGGATTACATTGGAACATTCAAGTCCAATGTAGTTTCCCTCGGATTTCATATGTACGACGGGTTGCTCAATCCCTCCTGTTCCGGAGTGCTGGCAACCACCCGCTTCAAAAGTACAATCCCTGTACCACTAGTTCCCCTCTGCTTCCTTCAAATTTCGGGTAAGTTCCATGTCGAAAATCCCATATCACACATACCATGCCAATTTTTTCCAATATGCCATCATCTCCCCCATTCAATAGTGCAGACAACCATCCACTTCGAAAGAACCAAGCCTTCAAAAGTACAAGCCTATCACAATTTCCTTCTGCTTCCTTAAAATTTCGGGTCAGGTCCATCCATGTCGAAAATCCCATACAACACATACCATGCCGCTTTTTCCAGAAAAACCATTCATCTCCCTAATGCCAACTCCACATCCAACATCCGGAGGTCGTTAACCCACCATAACCATGACTTTAACTTGTAGCACCACTACAGAAAACTAAACACACTCGTCACAACCCAAGACTACCAAGTCTACCAACCCAATTTATTCATTCTATATACAATCTAAACCTATTTACAGGAGCCTAGTGCTCCCATCCGCCCTTCATTCATCGTCAACATCGAGATTCAGAATGCGACGCAGAGTCTTGGTCGCGGAGTCAGCATTGTGAAAGAGGTCTCTCGCAGAAGACCCACCATGCTCCCTAGTTGGGGATGCAGGTGTAGACTTGGCAATTGGGTGGTGCATTTCGATATCAGCGGGCGACTTGGGCAATTCGAGCGACACGGTTCTCTTGGGTCGGATTGAAAACTTGGGGATTGGCAACGAACTCGGTGGGGGAGAGTTCGAGTAAGCCGGACCGGCCCAGAGCTCAGAAAATGAAAAACTTCCATTGAAGTGCTTGCCTTTCTTCGAGTTGTTGACATTGATAGCAATTGGGGTGCTTTTAATAAATGTTCTGCTATCAGACTGTGAAACTGGACTAGATGTATGTATCTTGTTTGGACTAGGTGTAGTTATCCTAGGAGGAGAACCAGAGCATGCTCCCTTTTTGGATACAGGAGTAGAGCAAGCCTTGGATGGGGTTGGGAGTATACCTGACCCGGATTGGAAAGTCCGGCAATTGATCCCTCGGAAGTCCTTGGACGGCGACGGGCCGACTCGGCCCGGCCCGTGTGGCTTCCCCTGGCCATAGTACTGGTTCTTATGCTGCGCCACAACCAGAAGAGTCTCCATTACAAAAGATTCAGTGAGTCAACGAGTACAACTCGGCCGAGTCAGTCCGATTCTCAGAGTAAACGATCTACTTCTACAACTCAGCCCCAAAATACTCAAAGATTGCAACTTTACGGTAAGAATCGCACGGAAAATCAGTCCAATCAAAGACCCAGATCCCGATCAGATTCAGATCAGAAAAAGCACCTATTTCGCTGTAAAACGAAAGATCAAAACTGAAAATTAGATCCAAGAACGGCGTAAAAATGATTACCCCAAACACGAAATACACAAAACCCATGAAAATTAAACATTCAAATCGAAAACCCATGATTATTTTCTCGAGAAAGTGATGGAAAATTACCAAATCGAGCGAGAAAATTCTCACTTGGACCACACAGGCAGTAATCACCTCTCCATCTTTGCTCTGCTTCTGGTTCTCGAGCACTGATTTTTCGGGGATCGGAGTGAAACGAGGAATTGAACCCCGGAGAGGAGAGAGAGAGGGAGGGAGGGAGAGGGAGAGGAAGGGAGAGAGAGGTACAAGGAGGAGAGACGAAGAAAGCACAAATCTGAAATGGCTGTCTACAGTTGTAGTATATAACTAACGTACAGTACTACTGTGGTGTACTACCTGCTTGCGGTGCTCCCTCCGTACTGTATCATGTAAGCATAGTTAAATGGGTCTGGCTTTAGTTATATTTACAGAAGTACCATTTCATCATGGATGGTCTGGGCCCTAGGCCCCTAGCCCCATACATGGCACAGTCGAGTTGACTATTTACCCTTTGAAATTTCCTTTTTGGACGAACAAAATCGGAGTCTACAAAATTGCTCCCTTAACGTTCAAAATTGTACAGCTAATTTACGTTCAAAGTTGTACGGCTAATTTGGTTCTTTGTTAGCGACTACAGTATGAAATATTGTGCTAACATTATTGTGGTTGAACGTAAATTTGCAGTACAACTTTGAACGTTAGTTTCATTTAATTACAAAAATAATTATTACTATTTTATGTTAACAATCTTAACCATTAAACGATTCAAATGACTTTGAGATCCGAAAGTATACTTTCGTTTTAATCTTCTAGTTCATATTATGAAAAAGAATATATATATATATATATATATATATAATGCTTCTAGTTCCTTATAATCCTAATTTAGTTTATGAAATGTAATTTTTCAGGAAGGAATGAATGTAAATATATATAAAATAAAATAAAAAAGGTATTTGTCAGCTTATCTCTCGAACTTGTACGAAGTTGCCAATTTTCCTCTGAACTTTAATTTTAGTTTATTGACTCCCTGAACTATTATAATTAGTCAATTTCTTCTTGAACTTTAATTGTAACATCTCACATCGTCCAGGTGAGTGATCCTTATATGTATATTCTCATCTCTACCTAGCACGAGACCTTTTGAGAGCTCACTGACTTCAGGTTCCGTTGGAACTCTGAAGTTAAACGAGAAGGGGGCTAGAGCAATCCCATGATGGGTGACTCACTGGGAAGTTGCTCGTGAGTTCCCAAAAACAAAACCGTGAGGGAATGGTAAGCCCAAAGCGAACAATATCGTGCTACGGTGGTGGAGCGGGCTCGGGAAGTGATCCGCCCTGAACCGGGATGTGACATTAATTGTACCCCTAAAATTTTATAAATAATTAATATCTCCTACGTAGATTTTAAAATTCTTCATCCAATTTTCACCTATCCAATTTTTCATTATTTTGCCCACATACAGTTGTCATATGTTGTCTTCGTCATCAAAATGAATAAAAAATTTAAAATCTAGCATCAGGAGAAAATGGGTTGTTTATAAAAGTTCAAGGGATAAATGACTCAAATTAAAGTTCAAGGGAAAAAATTGGTTAATAATAAAAAATTTTAGAAAGTAATTGACTAAAATTAAAGTTCAGAAAAAAATTAACAGCTCTATATAAATTTAAGAAACAAATCGACAAATATGCCTATAAAAAACACTCATGACTGATAACTTTATTAATAAAACTTATTAGTGGTGAGGGCATTTTGGGGAACCTAGATAAATATGAATCGAAAAAGTCGGACCCACGAAAGTCATCTTTTCTAAAATATGTGCAAAAATATCGGCACAAAAAGATAGTGTGAAAATAAATAAATAAAAAAAAAAGAGTGGTTGGAGACTTTGACGTGTTGTGTTGTGGATTAGCGACCTACACGTGTCCGTCTTTTTGGGTCGGTCGCATAATTTTGCTCTCCAACTTTAAAAAATTAAATGAATTCCCGGAGCTAATATTTTATAAAATTTTCAACTGGTATGGTGAAATTTTTTTTCTAATATTACATTTTTACTAATAAATGTAGGTTGATTTTTTAATAAGTTGAGTTCAAAAAATCAATAATTATGCTGTTCATTGTGTGATTCAATTAGTGTAAATATATTGTTGTATTAAAAATAAATAATTTTAACATTTGTCTTCTTTTCCTTACATTTTTTGTTTTTTTTTTTTTGGTTTTACGTGTAACGAATTTGCTGTCATCCAATTTGATAATGCAACACCATATGTAAAACTAAACTAAAACAGTACCTTGATAATAATTTTTTTCTATGTAACAGACAAAGATATGCATGAAAATAAAAATAAAAATAAAAATAAAAAATGTTTCTCCTTTTTCCCGCAACGAATAAATCCTGAAGTGGGGATCTTTGCTTTGGTGGGTGGGCTCCAAAGGTGGAAAGATGCCCACGAATACCACAATTTCACTTTAGTCACGTTATTAAAATTAAGTGGAATAAATTGCTCAAAATGGGGATGTAGCTCAGATGGTAGAGCGCTCGCTTAGCATGCGAGAGGTATGGGGATCGATACCCCACTTCTCCATCTTTTCTAATTTTTTGAAAATTTATATTCTTTGTTATTTTTTTTTAACAATAAATTTTGTTAGATTAGATATTAAATTAGCTATTGACAAGGTTCATACTCACGTTATCAAGTAAGAGGTCTCAACTTCTTTTCATCATTGTAGTAACGGAACACTTACCAATTGACATTCGATGAACGACACCGTTTTTGGGGGTCGAAAATAAAATTAAGGGTAAATTACACTTTCATACCTCAGGTTTTGGCTATATTTCAATTTCTTACAACACCTTTAAAACATTTCACTTTCATACCTTAAGTACTATTTTATTTCAAAATAATACCTCAGTTACATTTTCTATCCATTGATCTGTTAAATGCTGACGTGGATGCCAAATGTATGCCACGTGGCTGCCAAATGTTTGCCACGTGGCTGCCAAATGTTTGCCACGTGGCAAAAACAATAATTTTAAAATAAAAAAACCTAAATTTTTACAAAAAAAAAAAAAAAAAAAAAAAAAAAGAATACCCAATACCGCAGCGACCCACATCTGCAAGAACAAGAAGAAGAGGGAGGAAGAAAGGAAAAAAAAATTGAAATTATCCCTCCCCTCAGTGACCCACATGTGTAAGAAGAAGAAGAAGAAGAAGAGGGAGGAAGAAAAAAAAAATTGAAACTATCCCTCTCCCCCCCCCCTCAACCCCCCCTCCCGCGACCCACATCTGTAAGAAGAAAAAGAAGAAGAAGAAGAATAGGGAGGAAGAAGGGGGAAAAAATTTTGAGCGACCCATCTGCAGCAGGAAGAAGAAGAGGAAGAGGAGGAAGGAAGAAAAGAAAAAAAAAAAACCAACCCCCCCCCCAGCTCCCCACTCTCCGCGCGTGACCCTCCTCCCTCCGCGATCTGGTGATTTTCAGCGCGAGTGAATTTTGAAATTACTTTGAGTTTGAGATGATTTTTGGACTGGTTTTGTGGTAGATCCACCTAATCTTGGGTTGGATTTTCGGGGTGGGTGATGGGGGATTTTTGGGAGGGGTGGCTCGGGTGGGATTTTCGGGTATTTTCTTTCTTTCTTCCTCCATCTTCTTCTTCTTCTTCTTCTTGCAAATGTGGGTTGCTGAGGTTTCAATTTTTTTTATTTTTTTTTGTAAAAATTCTGGTCTTAGAAAATAAAATAAAAATTATTATTATTGCCACATGACAGACATTTGGCAGCCACGTGTCATATATGTGGCAACTACATCAACATTTAACAGATTAATAGATGAAAAATGTAACAAAGATATTATTTTAAAATAAAATAATACTTAAGGTATGATATTGAAATGTTTTAAAAATGTTGTAAGAAATTGAAATAGAATCAAAACCTAAAGTATAAAAATGTAATTTACCCTAAAATTAATTATGTCACCCTCATACAAAGACACAACTCTGCCGTAATTCAGGTCAACAGGGTCATAATAGTCAAATTTTCTCTGCCTAGTACACTCAGAAACAAATACTTTAGAGTTTAGACAAATTAAATTAATTTTTAAAATTTTGGCTCCATTTTAATCAAGTGTGAACAAAAGATGGCATAATCTTTCCGTAATTCTACACTTTAATTGTAGTGGTAGGTACCAAACAAGACATGTTCCTTTTAAATATCTTGTCCTTTTTAAAAAAAAAATTGAATATATATATTGTCCTTTAAGAATTAAGAGGATCTTTGGTATGATATGAAAATATATATTTTTTATTTTGTATTACTTCAGTTGGTTGGATTTAGGCCTCTAAATATGTATTATTACTTGTCAAGTTTGAACTACCAAGCTGAGCTCAACTCTATCTCGTCGCTTATAAAAACTTTAGAAGTTGCTTATGAGCTTTACAAGCCAAACATACCAATGTTCAAGCTTAACTTGTTTCTTAATTAAACTGAACTAGGCTTCGCTTAGTTCTTTCATGAGCCGAACTATGACGAGCAAAACATGAGTCAAACTTAATCAAACTAAACTAGCCACTACAGTATGAAATATTGTGCTAACATTAGTGTGGTTGAATGTAAATTAGCAGTACAACTTTGAACATTAGCTTCATTTGATTACGAAAATTGATTATTATTATCCTTATGTGTGTCTGCAAACAATGCCAATAATTGGCTCAGCTTGTTTTAGTTGCCTTATGTTAACAATCTTAACTATTAAACGATCAAAATGACTTCGAGATCCGAAAGTAAACTTTCGTTATCTTCTAGTTCATATTATGAAAAAAATATATAAAAAATGCTTCTAGTTCCTTATGATCCTAATTTAGTTTATGAAATGTAATTTTTTAGGGAGGAATGAAGGTAAATATATATAAAAAGGAGGTATTTGTCATTTTGTTTCCCGAATTTGTACAAAGTTGCTAATTTTTTTTTAAGCTTTAATTTTAGTCAATTAACTTTATGAACTATTATAATTAGTCAATTTCCTCCTGAACCTTAATTGTATCCCTTAAAATTTTATAAATAGCCAATTTTTCCTACGTAGATTTTAAAATTCTTCATCCAATTTTCACCTATCCATTTTTTCATTATTTTGCCTATATACAGTTGTCATATGTTGTACGCGTGATCAAAATGAATGAAAAATTTTAAAATCTAGCGTCATGGAGGAAAATAGGTTGTTTATAAAAGTTCATGGAGTCAATGGCTATTGTAACATCCCACATTACCCAAGGGAGTGATCCTTAAA